TTGTTTTCATCTATGGTTCATTATTTGTTATGACTTGTGTTTTGTTCCTAGTTCAATCGTTATTTCTGTCCTCATAAGTGAGAACAGGAAGGATGGAACTGTAGGGCTGCCTTGACTCCCTTATCTCTGCGCCCTAGGTCCACAGACAGAGCCACAGCCCCAGGGGATGATCCTGTAGTCATTCTAATCACAATCAATGCTATTGAATGGTTCCTTTGGCATAAGAGAAGCCAGTCTCTAATGAGAGGACAGGATAGTGGGGACTTGGTGGCAAGGGGGAAGTCTGGAAGACCTGGACTCTCAGGTCTGTAGCTCTTCCCAGGGGGTTCATGCACTTGTCCTATGCCTCCCCCGACCCCTGACACACACACACACACACACACACACACACACACACAGAGAGACACGGTCTCTCTCAACTGACTTCCTACAAATCCACAATTAGGGAATTATTTGGCAACAAGGAGGCTAAGGCTGTTTTGTGGTGGCACAGTCTTTCAGAAATCCAAAAGGAAGCAGGCTACCTCTGACAGAGGCTTTTATACAGGCCAGGGCCTGTATTCAGCTACTTGTCTGCACTGGGGCTAGCTGCCACAATCTCTTCATACTTTGGGGGAGGGTCACTATAAGAGACACTGGCCTCCTCACTGCTTCCCTCTTGGGGGGCAGTCACCTCCTCATAAGAGGGGGGAGGGGTAGCACTGGATAGTCTGGAGAGAGAGAGCTCAGGGAGGTAGAGGGTACTCTCCAGCCTGACAGTGGTTCTGCCTCCTCGGCTGGGCCCCAGAACTATCTGTGGGTTATTTCCTGCCTCTCGGTGCCCAGAGGATTCTCCCTGGCTATGCACAGTGCCTCTGTACACCATAACTCGGGGAAGGTTGTGCCCAGCACGACTGGCTAGGTACCGGTTCTGAGCATAGGAGGGGTGGTGACGAGTTGCTTTCTGCAGCTGGCACCTCCAGATGATAAACAAGGCAATGACAATCAGCAAGACTACCCCCAGAAGGGGCACCACCACATACATGGCATCTGAGCTCTGCGAGGGGTCTCGGACTGAGTAGACTGCATTTGGGTATCCCTTCCAAAATTCCATCTGCAAAAGAAGAAGGGCCACTCAATCCTGAGGAAGACAGGCACCAGGCAATGGTCACCTAACATCCATGTGTTAGACATCTGAGGCCTCCATCAAGTCCTGTACCAAGGACAGGCTTGTGATTCCTTCTCCAACCTGAGCCATCTTACTGGCCAGAGAGAGCTCTCAGAGAGTCTACTGAATCCACCAAAGTTGAGAAACAAAGCTCTCAGACAAGGAAGTTCACATGAATCATGCAACAGACCTAGAGGGACACCCCAGAATTCCTTTTGGGCTCCAACAGGAAAGATATAGGCTGGGGTGATACCCTTTCCTTGTTTCAGATCTGTCCTCATTATTCCCAAGATTGTACCTCCTCCCAGAACCCAGCCCCAGGGCAGTACATGCCGTTTTCTCTTTGTTCTCAAATACTTCCTTGACCTCTTCATAACTGCAGATCTCTTCCATGCACTCCCGCTCAATGGTGCCCTGACGTAGCTCCTCCAGGAACTCATTGGCACGAGGGAATCGTTTCAGGACTGCATGGGCATTTTTGGCTTCCAGAAACACTGAGAAGAGAACCACAGTGAAGTAATTCAGTCCCTACAAACCAGACTGGCCCAGTAATTAAGGAAAATAGGGCAAATCCTGCAGGCCTAAAGCCAGGACTCCAAGCAAGGCCTAGCCTACTGCAGTGGTGATGGGAGGGCTGCCTTTCTATGATATTGTGCTCTCCAGCAGGAGCTCAGGGTCCCAACATGGTCAAGGTCCCTCCCCATACAAAGGAAAATGAGACTCAACTGAGGAAGAGCTTCAGGTTGAATGGGAAGAAGGACCAGTAAAAACTCTATGTATTGTAATCTTAGATAGAAAACATCCAGTAGCTTCTGTATCTTTCTTGAAACAGGAAAGCCAGAGATCTTACCATGAGAGCTCTTCCTCTTCCAAGCTTCCACTGGTGGGACTACAATCAGGCATGAGCTGTGACTTTGGAGGATGAAAGCAATCACCAATGGTGAGTCTGCTTACTCCTCACAGTAAGTGATGCCCCTCTATGCCCAGGCTGACAGGTCTGGCCTGCAAGTCCTCTTTCCAGTGATTCCATAAATTATTGCACTAGTGTACCTTAGAGCCACTCAAGGAAAGAAAAGCTGAAAAGATGGATGTGTTGCTTTTACATGAGCCTGCCCAACTCAGATGGTTCCAGAAACATTTACTCACCAGCCATGATGCCTCCTCAGCTCCAGTGTCTCACTTGCCTGTCAAGGGAGAAAAGAAAGTCATGGTAAAACCTTCTAAGGTCTAGATTGTGACCTCCTACCAACCTGGCTAAAGGGTCAAAGCAGCATTCCCATGAGGCACAGCACCCTCATACAGCCACTCCTAACTCCTACTGCTTCTGCTTTGTCCCAAAAGACCTTCTCCATAGCTCTCCAAAGCCCAGGAGAGCCTTGTTCTCAAACACACACAACACACACACACACACACACACACACACTCCTGTAAAGAAAAGCATCTCTGAACTAACACTCCCTATCCCTTCAATGAATCTTTATCCCTTCAGAATAGAAAAGACTCCAGAGACAGATGAGAAATCAAGCCCAGATATGGGATCGAGTAAAGACAAGGTTAAGCAAATTGACTCAGACAGATACAAGATTTGGAATTGAACTTGATGGTGAAGATGAGTCCCAGATACCTCTAGAGATAAAATGTTCCTTGAATACCAAACTTAATGCAGCAACAGCAGCCATCTCAAATATCCCAGCCTAGCTGAGGCTGACCTACAGTAATCTATGGATATCTGTTGTGCAGGGTCAGACCCACCATGTACAACATAAGTACAGTCTTATACTCCCTGATCCAATCTACTGGGCCCAAACTCAGGCAATCTGCTCAGCTCACTTTTCCCCAAAAGAAAGAGTTGTTTAAACTTCTCTGGAGGCACACACATCTTTTCTCTTAGCATTAAAGACTACTGCAGCAGAGAACCTTGGAAAACATATTTAAAAGCTCAACATGAAGACACAAGTCTGGGGGTATAGCTTGCTCATACAGCATATTCCAAACATATCTAAGGATGTGGGTTTGTTTTTCAGGATCACAACTCACAAACACATAAGTGCAACACAATACAATAAATCTGTGATGGTAACTTAGAGGAGGAGCCTCTATCAAGAAGTACCTTCATAAAGCCTTTTTCTGATAACACAATCCTACTCTCCTACTCATACACATATTCACACATATTCAGAAGCACTGTGTAACCCATCAACATCTGGGAGCAGTCACCCCTCAGTCCCCCTCCCCAAGCAGAAGCTCATGTTTTAGGACTAATAGGATGTGAGACACATGAGTTTTGCAACCCATTATGCTACCCTTTTTGCCTAGGCTGCCAGGAAGTTCAGTGTTATTACTGATGGCCAAATACAAGTGCTCTAGAAGCCCAGCTGTTATGCACATACACTTTTCTTTCCACAACTTGGTACAGTATTCTATTTATTCGTTAAGAGTTTATTCCTGTTGTGTGTTTAATATGTGGCTTCTACTCTGGAAAATAAGGAGGATAAAAATCATGAATAAATGTTAAATGATGGGAAAAGTAATTGATCTAACAGCTGTCTGGACTATCATTGTGTCACAGGGCTTTCTCTTTAGAGCAAATGGAAAAATACTAACAGATCACTTCACTGAAATACCTCAAGTTTCACAATGACAAAAAGAGTACTATCAAAAAACCTATGGTGTCCATATGATGAGGGTGCAGAGAGAATTGGATTAGGAAGAGGTGTTTTGGTTAAAGAAAAATAAAGCTGTAACATCAGACAGAGTTTGAAAAGAATGAGAAAAGCTTTCGCTAATTACAAAGCAAACACATGCCATTGCTTACAGAAGTTAACTGTGGCGTTTTCAAAAAAAAAATTACATGGAAGAATTATATAAGAATTTTACATATAACTATCTTTGGTCCAAACCTAACACTGGACTTCCGTGCATTCATACACACATACATCATAGCCCCAAGTTGTGTTATCTTGGCCTGGAAAAGCCATTAGTTCATTTCCGAGCCTTTAAAGAAGCCAGGATCTCCCCCCAGACAGTTCACAAGTCATGACTACCCTATTAGCAATTCTGTAGCCACCACCACTACTGCTGCTGTTGCTGCTATGAGGGCTTCTCCCCCCTCCCTTTCCAAAATGTAGTGCCTGCTTCTTCCCCTATAAATACACCATCAATAGGCAGTTACTATGGCAACAGTAAGGCAGCATGAGGGCTCCACGACAGAAAACGCAGCTGCAGTCACGCATGCATATGTCCCTCCAGCCGCTGGTAGATACTGTACAGCTAGCTGACTGTAAGCTGAAAGAATTTTTAACCCACTCCCCACAGGAACACAGCTGAATCCTGACGTTCTAGAAAGGAAGGAAGGCAGAGAACTGACCACCACAAAGACCTTCCTTAACCCCACCCCAGGCTGAGGCCTCTGAATCCCAGTTCTCTGGGTCAAAGCTCCAAAAGTACCTCCCACAAAGACTGGTGGCCCCCTTGAGCACCTAGTGTACCAAGACCTGGCCTCCAAAGCCACTCCTCCAAATCTGAGTGATTTCCATTACTCAGAACTGCTCGCCAGGAAAGGGTTCTGCGATTTCCAAATCTCCTGATTCATCAATCCACCACAGGCAGTTCCCAAATTGTGCTTCAACTCAAACTCTGGGGTCTCTTGTCCCCTTCCACCCTTCCACTTATGCCGGCCCTGAAAGGGCCTGGCTTTGCCCACCTTCGCTTGACACCAGCGTCCTTGTGAAGAACTCCTGCTTCTGGCCCAACAACACTATACTCCTGGGATCTGCTTAAGAATCCAAACACCTTGGCCTGCCTGACCTCCAAATCTTCCCTCCCCAACAGTGCCCAGCTCCCAGTTCAGTGGCCCTGAACACCAAACCATGCCCTCGGGGCTCCGGGCATCCAACCAAATGGCCTCACCGTTCTCCAGGCCCAGGAGGCGGCCGCACTGCGCACGCAGCCCGCCACCTTCTGCTGCTCTTCTTCGAGCAGGGCCCTTGTCCCCGCCCACCTGCTCCCCGTCGGCCAAGCCCCCGGCCCATCCCATCGGTCTCCTCCCTTAGTCCCTCCCTGTACCGCTTCCCTCCCACCACCCCTGGCGCCCCAACTCCCGCCAGGCCCGGGCCAAAGAGCGCCTGGAGCCCCCGCCCCTCACAGCCAGGCGCGCAGGCCTTATCCGTTACCTCAGCACCCCCTGCCTGCCCCTGCTCTCCTCTGGGGGCTCCGCCAGACCCTCCCCCCGCACTCTGCCGAGCCAGCTCTGGCCTCGCGCCCCCCGCCTGGCGTGCCACTCTCCAGCGCCAAAAAATGAGAATTGCCCCGATAGCCAGGCCACAAGCAATTGTCGCGCTGCACCGCGCACCAGGCCTCTGGGCCAGGAGAGGAAGAAGGGGTGGGGCCGGCTGAAGAGACCTAGGGCTTAGGTTGAGAAGGCCAGCAAGCTGGGCCGAGGGGCGGTGGCGCGCACCAAGCACTGCGCGCCCGCGCCCAACTCCGCCAGCGCCGCCCCTGCCTACACCCGTGCTGCTGGGGGCGGGGCCTGACCAGAAGGCCTGGGGCTCCCTGGGGACCCTGGCCTCCACCCTGTCCCAGAAGTGACTGTGGCGCGAGCCCTGCGAAGACCGGGCTCTGTAGGTGCCACGTGAAGGCCCGCGTTCCAGGCGTCTTGGAGCCGCAGAGTCCGACCTGCCTCCTGGGCCCCATCCAGGCTCACCTGCCATTCCAGCCAGCCTGGCCTGGGTTCCTGCTGAGAAGAGGGGCGCGTAACAGTAGTCCCAGGCTGCCTTATGAGGCTTCTCAGGTCCGCAGAGAACAGGCCCTGTTCCTTCTGCCAATGACTGAGTGACCTTGGTTTCCTCACTTACATCCCCCACCCTCCCTGAGAATGGCAGGCTTTTCTCTTGCTAAATCTGAGAAATGGGGAGAATTCTGCTTTTTTCTCCCATGAGTCAGCAGCTGGAAGGAGAAGGAAATGGGCATCCCCTTGAAGGAATAGAAGGGAAAGGCCTGCAAGGAGTGTTGAGTGAAATACACCTCAGTCTGTGGGAGATTCAACCTGGCTAAAGAAAGCTCTGGTAGGAGAGAAGCATTATTCTAGGAATTGAGGTTGGACCATAGAGAGAGGCAAGATGATTAGGGTGTGGGTCTTGGGAAGCATAGGAAGTACCTAGTGTGCCATACTAGGTTAACAGAGAGAGCTCTTTTCAGCACAGCACTGTGCCTAGGGTTATCATCCTCCCTTAGGCACTGCATTTAATGGGAATGGGCCAGAATAAGTCCAATATTATGAGAAGGGATGTAAAGAGGTCCCGGGGTCCCCATTGCTCTAGCTTTCAGGGCTAATTCTTTGTTGCTCCTGGACCTACACTTCTCTCTTTTTTGACATACCCCACTGTGCTTCATCTGCCCCATGGACTCAGAGGCCTCTCTTTTCCTTTCCCTATGTTTCAGGAGCCTTCCTTGCCTGTGAGAGAGCCTGTGTAATCTTTAATCCTTGGAAAGTCAGGAGGTCAGTAATGCCCATGGGCAGGTTGCATGAAGAAAGATAAGATGCCCTGTGGATGGGGATGCCTTTGGTTGATGCAAACAACTGTGTGTAGATACTCTGGCTGGGTAGTAAAAGAGTTGGATGGAGTCATGGTCAGTGGGGAAAATGATTAAGGTAGTTTCAGACCATCAGCATTCTCCTGGGCTCATTTCAACCTCAGGGTACACACCCCCAAAGAAGGTGACAGAGTGGAGTGTATTTATGTGCAGAATAGAATATGTAACATCTACTGTCCTCCCAACATCTGCTCTTGAGCTGCTTGCTCCAGCAACACCAGCCTACTTCTAGTTCCTTCTCCACTCAGATGCCTTTCCTCCCACTATGAGTCAGGGCACTTTGTTCATTCTGCCCACACAGTACCAATGAAATCTGTACTGTGAAGTCTTGCAAGACCTTCTGTGCATTCCCACACTGACCATTCCATTCTTACCATTGTCTTCAGGGACTGGGAGCACGGGGTCTCTGTGCATGGTAAGGGTGGGAAAGGAGGACAAGAGGGACCTCAAGAGCAGAGCCCTGATCCACCTATTGGCAGGACCACTCATTATTACTCTTTGATCTTCAGCAAGTCAGTTGGTATCTCTGTGCCTCAGTTTGCTTATCTGCTAAATAGAAATGACACTAAGAGTGCCTGCTTAAAGTTTTGTTCAGAGGATCATTGAGGTGATCAGTTAAACTGTGCCTGGTGTTTACAAATGAGCTTAAGACAGAATAACTCTACTTTACATGCTGTGCATTGGGTACCTCCTCTGTCTTGGGACTAGGGACCATGTATCTTCCTACATCACTGCCATCCAGTACAGAGGCTCACCCACAACAGGTCATTGCTAAATCCTGGTAGATCAGAAGTAGTAAGTTTCACTATAAAATCACCACCATAAGGTGGGACCTGCTTCCTCCCTCTCCCAGCCTTGAGTACCCTGTTCTTCCCTGTCCTTCATTTTCACCAATCCCATCCCCTCCTCTCCCCAGTTTTTCTCTCCCTTACCCCACCTTGCATTTCATACTATACCTATTTGGAGCTACATTAATTATTTTCCTGATGCCCATTCATCAAAATTGAGCCCTTCTGTGAGTCTTCCTGCCCATCCTTTACAAGCCTTGCTTCACACTCAAATAGAAGTACTGATCTTGATTTCATTTTCTCTGAACAGTCTTCACCATCTACACACTATACACTAGTTAGATTGTAGTCTCAATCATGCCCTTCAGTCCTTTATATGACAGCCCTTGCCTCACTACTTCAGACAGTGACTCTATTTGGAGACAATGTCTTTAATGAGGAAACTGAAGTAAAATGAGGAATTTGGGGAGGGCACTAGTGCCGCTAAGACACAATCATATAGAGGATGATCATTTGAGGACACTCTAGACAGCCACCTACAAGCCAAGAAGAGAAAAAGGAACCAACCTTGCCAACATCTTGAACTTCACTTTCTGTCTTTGAAAACTGAAAAAGCCAAAAATAAACCCTTCTATTCTCATCACTGTACTTGGGGGCTTTTCTCTGATATCCCAAAGCTATATATCCTTTATTGTTCAGTGATGTTATATGACAGGTGCTATTCCAGGACCTAAGAATACAGATGACAATGAACTAAACATGCGTTATGACTTCAAGGTCATTACATAAGCCCCTCTGCAGGAATTCAAATATGTAGGATAGTGAGTGATGACTGACTGGCTCTATAGAGAAAATTTAAACACAGTAAAGTCATTAGGGAGGGATCTGCTGAAAGGATATCCTTATTGTTGAAAACTGAAGGACAAGAGGAACTATTTTGTCCTGGATAGACAGATTTACAAGTGTAAGCACCCCAAAAGCAGAGTTTCATCTACTATATTCTAATATAGGGCAAGAATCATGCAAGGCCTCCCAGGCCATCATGAGCGATTTTGGCTGTTTATTAGTTTAAATGGTGTGGAAAGAAACTGAGAGCTCTGGATCAGAGAGTATCAAAACTTATCTATCTTCATGTAAATTATCAGAATGATTTCCTTATGAAAGTTGGATGTCATGGGTGGACTCTAGGACACTTCTGTGGGGGCTGTTGGAACAATCCAGGAGAAGGATGATGGTGACTTGCATCAAGCAGTGGGAAGGAAAGCAAATTCTGGATGGAGTTTGATGGGAGATACATGCATATTAGATAACCGCATAGAATTTGGTGAAGACTTACAAATAAAAGTCAAATATATAGGAATGATGGAGGTGCTTTAACTAAGATGTAGAAGATAACATGAAGCTGGTTATACACAGAAGTCTATAGTCGTGAGTAAATATCAAAACTGGAGATGGGAATGAAAGGTTATCATTGGGGAGGGGGCTTCCGCTTCCAGCAGGGAGGATGCAGCCTAGCTCTGGTCCCTGTGGCTGGTGGCCGAGCCATGTGTCTCCTCCTCCGCCACCATATTGTCTGTGTGAGGATAGGGGAGCGCAGCCAGTGCCGCTGCCGCTTCCACCGCAGATTCAACCAATCATGGATTGAAAAAACTGTATTCAGAAAAGCAAGTTAACATCTGTACTAAGCAGTGTGAAGAAAAAGGGTCTGAAACAAAGTTTTACCAACTTCTGCTTTTGAACACAGTGATTACCAGAACTTCAAACATCAAGTTCAGCTTTGTCAGTCAAATCAACCTGTCTGACATGTCAGGACCCGTGCCAAGCAGGGCCAGAGTTTACACAGATGTTAACACACACAGACCCCGAGAGTACTGGGACTATGAATCACATGTGGTGGAATGGGGAAATCAAGATTACTACCAGCTTGTTCGAAAATTAGGCAGAGGGAAATACAGTGAAGTGTTTGAAACCGTCAACATCACAAATAATGAAAAAGCTGTTGTTAAAATTCTCAAGCCAGTAAAAAAGAAGAAAATTAAGCGTGAAACAAAGATTTTGGAGAATTTGAGAGGTGGGCCCAACATCATCACACTTGCAGACATTGTAAAGGACTGTGTCACGAACCCCTGCCTTGGTTTTTGAACATGTAAACAACACAGACTTCAAGCAATTGTACCAGACGTTAACAGACTATGACATTCGATTTTACATGTATGAAGTTCTGAAAGCCTTGGATTATTGTCACAGCACGGAGATTATGCACAGAGATGTGAAACCCCACAATGTCATGATTGATCATGAGCTCAGAAAGCTTTGGCTAATAGTCTGGGGTTTAGCTGAGTTTTACCATCCTGGCCAAGAGTATAATGTCCGAGTTGCTTCCCGATATTTCAAAGGTCCAGAACTACTTGTAGGTTATCAGATGTACGATTACAGTTCGGATATGTGGAGCTTGGGTTGTATGCTCGCACGTATGATCTTCCGGAAGGAGCCAGTTTTCCATGGATATGACAATTATGATCAGTTGGTGAGGATAGCCAAGGTTCTGGGAACAGAAGATTTATATGACTATATTGACAAGTACAGCATTGAATTAGATCCACGTTTCAACGATATCTTGGGCAGACACTCCCGTAAGCGTTGCGAGTGCTGTCCACAGTGAAAACCAGCACCTTGTCAGCCCTGAGGCCTTGGATTTTCTGGACAAGCTGTGCAATATGACCACCAGTCACGGCTCACTGCAAGAGAGGCCATGGAGCACCCTTACTTCTACACTGTTGTGAAGGACCAGGCTCGAATGAGCTCCACTAGCATGGCAGGGGGAAGCAC